TCAGCTGTGTTAATTTATGTCCCAACTTGCTTTTGCCCTATACATAGACAAATATTAAAGGACAGTGGTCGTTGCTCAATACGTAATCAAATTTTAAGTGAACAAACGATGTGAAGATGACCACCCTTTAACAACATATCTTCAAGTTCAGAATCAAACAATATCGTCGAAAAATATGATAAATACAGAATATTTTTTGACCTAATCCTCAGAGAAGGGCAGGGTCTTTTATGTAAATGAGATCTATTTCCTTACATGGTTCGTTTTCACGTCATACACCTCCATTGATGCAACCGCTATTCTCCGTCGTTCACAGAGAAGTTTCAGCGCCGCTCGGACAGACTGTCCTTCTTTTGCAGCAATCACAGTGGTGGAATTATCCGGTAATATCACCCGACAAAATTTATGCGGTTCTTTAATCTCGCTGGATCCAGTACTACTGGTTCGTTCTAAAGACTGTAACAAAATAGATGTACCGTTTAATGGCTGCTAGTGTAACATACCACGACAAACACTGACACAGAAGTTGGTGATGAATATAAAGTGTTACATATTAACAATAATTTGGTACATTTCAACAATATGTATTTTGTTTAAATGCAACTTTTAACTAGAGTCTACGGTAATATGCGAATTTAAAAATTATGATCGATGAACATGTCTTTCCATACAGTTCCAATTATATTCAACAGATCGATTTAAGATCTAAATAATTGACAACATCAACAAAAGTTACAATAATCTTTGTGAATGAATCAAAGTACTCTTCCCCTGGTAGTAAACAACATTACCATGCACATGCATCAGATCAGGCAGCATGACAGCATACAAAACAAATTATTAGTGTTTTTTTTTCAGGTTAGAAGACACTGATGTGACCATTCATGTTTAGAATCCTGTGACGGCTAGAAAAAGGACTAGAGACAAATCTGTAAGTAACAGTTAGTATCCATGGTAACACAAGGAAGGATAAAGTGATGTAGTTGTGATGGCAAGACAGTGCAGGAGAATCAGTTAGTGATATGTATCAAGTCTGGAATGTTAATGGAGCTCAGATAATTACCATATTTTCTCTATTAAAAGAACACATATACTACTTTAATATTAATTTATAATATATTAACTCCAGATGATAAAGAGTAACATACATCACTAGACTTGATAATTATGTTACGAGTACATGTACATACAAGGTAATAACTGCATAGCTTTATTGCAGTGACACAACTTGAACACATCTGTAGCATCACAGAAAGATCTCAT